AGAGCTAATGTTACCAGGTTTCTACTATTGACTGTATATATATTCACCTATTAAATAGGCTGTGCTGTATTAATTCTAGAGCTAATGTTACCAGGTTTCTACTATTGACTGCATATATATTCACCTATTAAATAGGCTGTGCTGTTTTAATTCTAGAGCTTCAGTTCAGAAAGGCGATATTATAACCGTAGTGAGTTGGCACGTCATCGTCGTATTGGAGATCCCGAAGATAAATCTCACAAAGGACATCCACTATGTGAATTCTGTGATGAGAGGTATCTGGATAACGACGAGTTGTTGAAACATCTAAGAAGAGAGCATTTTTTTTGCCATTTCTGTGATGTTGTTGGATCACATCAATATTATAGGTAACTTCATGTCAATTAAAATAGCAGTCGTATTGTTAAAGTGTAGTGTAGTGTAGTGGATTGGGTTGTCTGGAACTTTCTCTTTCTGTGGGAGACCAGAATTAGATTGTAGATTACAATGTTCACCACTATTAATTTTCATAATTTGAGATATTCACAAGGACAAAAGTTCATGAAAAAATTTGCATTTTCATCTTATTACCATATAATAATTCACCAAATATGTCTTGTTGCGCAAAATGGAATTGGTTTACAATATTGTAATCTGTATCATTATGAATAGTAAAAATCTGCTTCTACATGATCTATTTTGTTACAGTGACTATTCAATACTGAGAGATCATTTTCGTGAGAGCCATTTCCTGTGTGAGGAGGGAACCTGTAAGGATGAGCAATTTACGTCTGCTTTTCAAACTGAAATTGATCTTAAAGCTCATGCTGCTGTACGGCATTCCAGCAAGATGTCAAAAGCTGAAGCTAAGCAGGCTAGACATCTTGATGTAGAATTCAATTATACACCACGCAATGCTGGCTACAGCAGGAGACATGAAGGTAAATACACAAAATATAGTGCTATATGTATTGAACCCTTTGATAATATTATATTCTTACTTTTATAAGTCCTTTGTAAGTTAGAGCACTTCACATTTGAGTAAAATTGTCATTTCATGATGGCACCTACAAGAAAGTAAATGTATTGTTTTAATTGATAAATAAATGTTATGTTTTTCAGCTGGTCTAATATCTGGTGATGATTATCAAGAAGTGTTCCGATCTCATCAACACCCTGCTCGAACAGGACGAAGCCGTGGTCGAGGCAGAAGAAGGTGTGTTATCTTGCATTCACCTGTACTACATCATTTACTGTTTACTGCAAAATCCTGCATTACGTGTCAAATCAAAGACAGGGTAAACAAACGTCGTAGTGTTATCAAAATATTGTGGGGGCATTCCCATGCTCAATAATGTGCTATGCTCATTTGAAGTATTGGTATTTCAATGGCATATTTGTAGCTGAAATATTGGCATTTCGACATTGAACAAATTGAAAAAAATAATAAAATTTTTGTAGAAGACGAGATATTCAGCTGAACGGGAAATCATCTATCGTTTCATGTTATAACAAGGGTCTGTATGAGTCCAGAAATAGATTGTAGATCACAATGTTATTGAACTGATACCATTCCAATCTTAGTATAAAACCAAAAATACAGAAAATATATTCCTATACTAATTTCTACAAAAGGAGAGATCTGGATTATGAACAGCATTTAATGTTGATACAAGTAGAAACTAGATTTTAAACTGTATTGAACAATTTGTATTTTTATGTTTTCTGCAGAGAAGATATTGAAAGTGAAATGGATCATCAAACATCCCTAGCAATGGCTGCAAGTTGGAGTGATGCATCATCCAATCAGGCTGCTGTTGTTGATAATTCACAACGGAAAAAGACCACTTCATCTCAAACCACGTCTCATCAATCTAACACTGAACACCCTGGGCGTAAAAAAACAGCTAATTCAGATGTACCTTCACTTAAGTCAGCAGATGATCCGGCACCACGGAAAAAGACACCTGTGTCATCACGCCGTGCAGATGTGACAGAACGGAAAATAACTGGCCATTCAGTCGCTGAAAGCTCTGGCAGAGAAAAGGTGAAAAAAACACCAAAGGAGGACAAGAAAGACAAACTTAAGAAAGAATTGAAAAGTGCGTCTGTTACAAGCAAGGAATCGACACCTAAAGTACCTGATGTGAAATCAAGTGTAGAGTATCCCGATATGAATAAAAGTCCAAAAGTTATGAAATCTAATAAACTGACCTCGGATAATAAAAAAGAAGCTGTAGCTGTATCACCAAGTCTAGCAAAGAAAGTGGCAGCAGCCAATCATATGTCTGTGCAAAATGGGTCACTCCAAGAAGAGGAATTCCCCACATTAGGTGGTTCAGCTCAAGGGAAGACTAACACTAGGCAGACTTCATGGACAAATCATAGAATGAGAGAGGAAGACTTTCCTCCTGTAAATGTTTCCAATCCAAAGAAAGGTGCTAGCGGAAAAAAGAAAGAGAAAAAAGATAGTTCGAAAAAAATTGTTTCTAGTGAAGTTAAAATTGTCAAGAAATCTGATGCTCCTGTTGTAGATTACACTAGAGTTGTATCTGATAAGGCGTCAGAACATGGAAATAAGAAAGCAGAACCTAAAGTGAAAGCACCCAAACAGGCGAAGAGTTTGGTCAGCACTTCTTCAGTTGATGACTTCCCAAGTCTAAGTTCTATTGCTTTCAGTCTTACCACTGAGAAACATAAACAGAGAAAGGTTACAAATCCCCCACCTGGTTTTTCATCTGCTTCTAAGAAGTCAGCTACTTCCTCACCCTTGGTGTCTGCTGCATCTCCTGCCCATCGTTCCTCACCCGTAGAATCCTCAACAGTCAAGAAGCCAACTGCACCACCACCTGGACTTCAAAAAATACAAATTATGGAGAAAAGTATGAAAAGCAGAGCTCCCCCAGGATTCGGAAGTATATCTGCAACACCTGTAGTTTCAACAAACCCTGTTATGCGTACAACCAATGTGGAAAATATTGCACCAGTTATGAAAGCACAAACAAATTCAGTATCGTATACTCAACCCGATAATTTTCAACAAAGGAACCAGAAATTAATCATGGCTATTAAAAATGGACTACAGCATGATACTGTCAAATTTGAGGAATTTAAAACCATGTCAGGACAGTTTCGTCAAGGTTTAATCCAAGCAACTGACTATTATACCAAATGCCAAAATTTGTTAGGATTATATGACTTTTCAAAAGTGTTCTCCGAACTTGTAGCTTTGCTGCCGGACAATATAAAACAGCAGCAATTGCTCGCTGCTCACAATGACTTTAAAGTGAGAGAAACTGCGAAGAGTCAAGAACAGAAATATCCAGATGTGCTAAAAATTAGTAATGTTGGTAAAAAGAAAAAAAGCACTCCACGAAGTGCATGGAACACTGATATAACGCAATGGCTAACATGTCCAGCCTGTAAACAGGTTCTGAGCACTGCTGATTTTAATTCACATGTTGCTTCTCATGATCTAGACAGTGATTTTCCGGCGCTTTCTAGCACTACAGTTAGCATGCCCCCCAGTACTGCTGGTGCTTGGGTGAAAGGCAAGTGAAAGTGCCTTGGTAATTTTGTATTTAGCTATTTGTAGATATCTGATGAAACTTGTTTGTTTTTGAATCACAGTTGATGATGTGGTGAAAATTTTCACCGAATATCTTCTACCATCTGTGCCGGCACCTAATTTATAATATCGTTTTCTCATGAATTCTGATTTAAGGTAGAAGCCTAGTCATAATTTGACAAAATTGGTCATAAATCGCATGACAATGTTCATTAGTTTATTATGTACAATCATGAAGCTATTGTCTCATGGTACAATGAAATGGCATTATTTTGTGTGTTACAGTTTTGCTTTTTGAGAAACTCGTCATAATATTTCTTGAAAATTGCTATTTTTAGAACAATTCCATAGAACACAATGTTAAAGAAAATTTGCATTTTTTGACACTTTTTAAAATCCAGATTTTTTAAATAATTCACAAAAACAAAAAGTACTCCATCATTAACAATATATAATTTTTTCAGCCTATGTCACCAGGTTAGATTTTGAGATATTGCATAATATCTCTGCCATAGAAATCTGTGGTAAAAGTGTTATAATAGTATCAAAATGGCGACTTTCCACTAAAATACGACCATCAATTTCTCGAAAAAAAGGCTGGTGACCCCCAACTTTTTTTTGGTCAATATCCTTATATTGCCTTGGAGTTCAGTTTATTGCAAAATGAATAAATTCTGGGTATTTTAATTTATGAGTAGGCTTCTACCTTAAGCCAACTTTTATATAGTTAAGTGTATGATCTTAAAATTAAATTGTTTTCTTCAATAGCCCTACTCCACTTTTCATAGAAATAATACAGCAATAATATCATGCAGTTTCTCTTGGCATGTTCCTATTTTGACGACTGATTTCTGTGGCAATATCAATGTTACCAGTAGAATGGCGGGCTAGTAATTCAGCAGTTTGATTTTATTCTGACATGTGACCTTGTATTCTTCTCATCAGCAGTTATTGGTATACCATATTTGTTTTACACATGTCAAAATTATTTTAATTAAATTACTGGGACTTTCTATTAAGGATGAAACCCGTATTTGTATGACATTTTTCAATCTATTTTCACTCCTCCTAAATCACATGGGGGGGGGGGGATTAGTCCAAATTGCCAGAAAATTTATTGTTTTGATAACCTGATGTATGCATTTGCATAATTAAAGACATTCAACGAATGTACACATATTTTGTGGAATTCCAAACATTCGTCTGTACATTCAACTTTCTCAGAATATTGATTGATTGGTTCTTTTGTTTTTATTGTCATTTGAATGCGCAAAGTGCATAAACTGGAATGAAATAAACTGGTTGTGCATTTTCTGGCATCCACTAAGTAAATTCAAAATAATACTGGTAAACATTAGCTTAACTGACTTTTCTGAAATTTTTGCACATGCTGCTTGTACAATAATGGCTATTACCGGTATGTCTTGGATATTGGATAATATTTCTTGAATGAAATAAATGGCACTTTCAGGGTCAATTTATTCTAAAATGTATACTTTGAATGATTATTACGTGTATAAACTAAATAAATATTCTGAAACAATATTTTTCTAAATCTACTAAAATTTTAATACATTACTCCACATTCTTTTAAGTGAAAAAATTCTAAATAGGCATTTTTGAAACAATACAGGTCTCTACAAACATGGGTCTCATCCTTGACATTTGCTTTTTATTGAAGTAAGTTTCTGAGAAATCTGAAAAATGTACTATGTTGAAGACCACTGTTGGATTTCAAAGCGATTCTATGAGAGCACTTGCGTTATTCCTGATTAAATTTATGAGCGCCCTCTTGTGCCAAAATGTATTTTATTTGCTCCAGTAGTTGCTCACCTTTATGGTCCAAATTTATATTTATTACAATACAGTTGACTGAAAATTAAAATTATTAAAAATTGACATACTCGATTGTTTTCTTTTGGAGCTCTTTAAAGTCAGGGACTAGCAAGATCATATCAGATTTTAAAAGCAAGTGACAGTTGAACTGGAAGTTTGTGTAAATTTCTGCTATAAAATGTAATAAAGCTTTCATGTTGAATTGATTATTCAGTCTTTGTATCCCTCTAAATTTAACATTGTAAGATGTTTTACAATTTACAGACCTCAAATGATGTGTATTTAACTTGTACTAAGTGTATTTACAACATTACTGACTGAGACGCAGTATATTTTGCTCGTTTGCTGCGTTGATCACGTGCAAATGTATTTTGTTTTTATTTTATTTGCACAAGTTTTTGTAAATAAGTTTGAATTTTATTCGTATACTCTATAAAGTATTGCCCACTCTGTATGTGGTAATTTATTTTGTCCACAAATTGTTTAATTTTCTTGTTCTTGAAGGAACATTCATCAACTGTGAAATAAATGGCAATGTAAAAACAGTAAAGATTATGTTGTATCTCATTACAGTGGGTGTTGAAATAAACTGATCTGGAAAACCACATCTCCTGAACAACCTCTTTTGCAACATTGTAATATTCCTAGGAACACTGGTGTTTATGACTTTACCTTCTATCATTAGAAACTAACACTTGTTTGCATTTGAAATGAATGTGAAATGTATGCAGTTTCATATTTCACACAATTCTTCCATTTTTTGTTTGCTCTAAACCAGACTTCCTGTTAAATCCATAAATCCTAGTTGAAAATAGTTGTCAAGAATGTTAGGTTGTTTGGATTGCAATGTGAATCATGGCCAAACATTTTGAATCATGTGTAGTGTGTGAATCGTAAATAATTGTCCTAGTATGTTTGCATTTTGACTACATATTCATTTGTTCAACTATTAAATTTTAAATAAATTATTCTGAAGTCACATAATCAATTATTTGAATTTGCCAACTTTGCTGATCTGATCGTATGGCAGGCAATTGTATTTTAAACAATTGGTTAATTTTTTTAATTTTTAATAGATAAATGTCTTTATTAATGTACTTATTTATGGTATTGCACGATAGTAATAGATGACCAAGCATATTCGGAACAGCGTGTTCAGAATTCAAGGATGTGAGCTTTCCGGATTGTGATTACCTGTATTGGTTATATTTGAATTACTAGTATGTTAATTAAAAGGCGCCACCATGTTCTAGAAGACTAGCATATTTGATGAAAGTGGGGAGTGTGAATATTCAGCTGTCAGTGGAATTGCGGAGCATACCATATGTATTGACTTTGAATACGCCTACTAAAAAGAAAATCACGCCTATACAGATCATTACGCTGCCATTCACCTTTTTGAAGCGTTGCTACAAATTGGAAATCTTCTGGATTACCACACATAAAGATGTGACCTAAACATCAGTGATAAGGCGTGTTTACGACGTAGGGCCTTTTAGCCCAATGCTAAGCCCCTACTGCTTATGCCGTGAGTTGATCAGAGAGTTGACCCTGTGGTTTTTAGCATGTAACGAAGTCCGACAACGGGGACTTATAATTCGGTCCCTGTTCGTGTGTCCGAGCGCCCGTTCGGAGTCGTATTTCAGAATCCTTTGGACCGATTTCGTTCATTCTTTGCATGTGCCCAGTACTTTATGTGGGACATATGCACATGCAGTGGTTAGTGGTTTGATTCAAAATGGCCGACTGGCAGCCATCTTGTTTTTTGAAAATGTCGTATTTTGGACATGCTTTGTCAGTTTTCATTCAAATTTGGTACATGGACTATACATGTTAGGATACATGTCCTCCGTGCATCCGCCCGTCCGTCTGTGCGTCCGTG